ATTATTCTTCATTAAGATCACCAAAGAATAAAACTGTGTAAAATTTATACAAATGTTTGCAGTCATGTCTGTCGGAGGGGCCTTCTGGGATAAAGGAAAGGTGGGAACTAGAAATGAATGTTGTGATTGAAGATGAAGAGTGGGAACAAGTGTGTGTAAATGGACATAAACTGACTAACAGCCCAACATGGAAAGAATTTTATTGGAAAATAATCGTCAGATATTTCAAAACACCTTGTATGATTTCAAAATTTGATCAGGCTAAATCAGATTTGTGCTGGAGACAGTGTGGACTAATTGGAAATCACACGTATATCTTTTGGAATTGTCCAAAGTTTAAAAAGTTCTGGGAGGGAATTAGAGAGGAAATTTCAAATATTTTACACATTTATATTGAATGGAACCCATTGTCTTTGTTCTGGGAGTACCCCCAAGTAATTTAAGTAAAGAAAAACGGTCCTTGTTTGGAATCCTTGTACTCGTAGCCCAAAAAATAACAGTATGTTGGTATAAAACTTTACCCCCTACTATAAATCAATTGAAAGAGAGAGTAGTGAATGTTTATACAATGGAGAAAATAACAGCAAAGCTAAACATGTCCACTGATTTATATAAGAAAAGGTGGAACCTTTTGATGACATATTTGCAATTAACATTGTAGCAAGTAAGATAAGTGTAAACACAGGTATACACTTTATAGGTATATTTAACATATGTCTCTGTTAAGATGCAGGCAAAAGTTACTTGAGGAAGATTTTCCCTTTATTTCATATTTCATGTTTGTAATCCATTTGTAACCTGTTTTATATTCCACTGAGCGGTGGAGGAAAAAGCTCCTTGGAACTTCAGCTTGCCGAATCGTTTGGATGTTATTGTTCAACTGATTTGTTTGGTTGTACTGGAAATTGATTGAAGCTTCTTCCATGTAAGGATTGTGGAGGCCACTGTGCTCTTAGGAACCTCAAGTGCTCCAGAAATTCTTCTGTAACCTTGGCCAGATTTGTGCCTTGCCACAATTTTGTCTCTGAGCTTGTTGGGCAGTTTCTTCCACTTCATTATTCTTATTTGCTCTGACCTGCAGTGTGAGCTGTGAGGTCTTATGTAGACAGGTGTGTGCCTTTCATAATCAAGTCCAATCAGTTTAATTAAAACAGCTGGACTCCAATGAAGGAGCTACAACAATTTCAAGGAGCATCAGAAAAAATGTAAAGCATGTGAGTTAAATATGAGGTCACAGCAAAGGGTCTGAATACTTATGACCATATTATGTTTAGTGATGTATTTTCCAAATAACTTTATATTTGGAGAAAATTACAACTGATCACCTGTCCACTAAAGATGTCATGCATCAGTGGCAATATTTTAACAGGTATTGATATCAATATTCTGACTGTAGATCTACAATATACACCATTTCCAGCAAGTATTTTGACTATAAATAAATTGACATATTTTAGTTCTTAACTTGAAGTTCATTGTTGTCATTAAGTAATAAAGTTTCATACTTGACTGGCCAATGGCTGGCCATACAGAGAAGTAGTGACAGTGGAGATGAAGACGATAAGGAATCTGATCACCAGTGGTGGAAAGTAACGAAGTACAAGTACTTCGTTACTGTACTTAAGTACAATTTTCGTGTATCTGTACTTAAGTAGATTTAATAATGGATACTTTCTACTTTTACTCCACTACATTTTACAGTAAGTATCTGTACTTCACTACATTTCTACAAAACTGTCGCATTACTCGTTACATCCAAGTTGCATTGCTCTTTTTTCCATTAAAATGTGAAGTTCAGGGACTTAAGGTGGCGCCGTAAAATCCAAGCAATAAGGTGACTTGCGTATTTGTTGTCACCCATCGCCTCCCCCTTTACTCGCACGCGGAGCTCCAAGAAATGTGCAGTGGTTTCCTCTGAGCGGGAGAAAATGTCTGTCTATTACGATTTATGCAGCGGAATAGAATTCCGCTGCATAAATCGACATGCAAATACAGCAGCGCTTCGCTTTCACAGACGTTGGGAACTTCGTCCAACTTTTAGCGTAATTTGGAAGGAAAGCTTAAAGAAAGGTAAGCTATGTGGACGTGCTGCTAGCAAAGCTAGCTGTACAGAGACACATGTTGCATCTGCGATGAAAAAACGTTGTCACTCATGCGCTGAATTATTGTGTGGAGGTGTTGACTGAGGTGTCGCATATATGGGACAACGCTGTGACCAAAGTCTACATTGATATGACATTCAGGAACGATCCGATTCTTCTGGACGGATCTTTACTAAGGTTGATAGGACTGAAGCCTCACTGAGAGCCGTTCTTTGTTCTTGTAATGCTCTGCGTACACTGCAGTAGCCATTTTCTTTATGTAAAGCACTTTGAAATGCCTTGCTGCTGAAATGTGCTATACAAATAAAATTTGATTGATTGATGCATAGAATCAAATATCTAAGTCTAAACTATGTTACAGAGTAAACACAATGAAAACATGCTTGATCTGTGGCATTGTTCATTAAAATGGTACATTACAGATGTATTAAAATTAAATACAATCAGTTCANAAACTGTAGCAAATTTTAAATACCTCGAGTCATTCTGAAACCAAAAACAACTCTGTCTCAACTGTTTGCTGAAAGAACATGGAAGATGGGAGAAATACTTTAGCAGGGAGCATCCATCCTCATTTTTCATCAGTTTGGACCTCTGAGCTCATGAAGGTGTTACTGTGTTCCTCTGGCAACTAAGAACATCTATTAGACGTCATTTATTGACAGTGCAATAATTATTCTTAACCAAGCTAAATAATATTTATCTATAGCGTGCTAAGTATTTTGCTCTATTCACAAATTGTTGATAATCAATCATATCAATCAATCATATCTTTATTCCAGACACTAAAAAGGTCCATAGAAAAAAGGTAAAAACAAGCAAAATAAGAGAAAAATAAAAATAAATATGACATAATATTATTCACCGAGTCACAAATAAATGATGACGCCAATGATTCTATAATCTTGACAAGAGTCTCACTGTACTAAAAGCAGGATTTACTAAAATTGCAATTATATTATTGCATGACACAGATAATCTACACATGCATTTATACATAAGATTCCTGAGCAGAGCTGCACATGTGGAAACAGCATTATGTACAAATATAGGGCTAGCACTACTCCATCTAGGCACTTTGAGTAGTAGCCTCATGCCATCGTTGTATGACACATAAAGTTTCTGCAGGCTACTTTTTTTTGTATCGTTGCCACAGCTGGGCCGTGTAATAATGTGATTCATGAATATGATTTATCGTTTTAGAGTCAAAGCAAAATTTCCACGTTGATAGATTTAATAGTTTCATCTTATTTTTTTATATACCTAAGACTCTACAATAAAAAGTCTCAATAATATACATGGCACTGTAAAAACCAAAAAAATTATTTTTGCTTATATCTGTTTAACAACCCTGGTTGTAACAACCTGAATTATTATTATTATGTACCTAATTCATTTGTTTGTTATTGACTTTTGCTCAATTAAATTTCTTCTGTATAAATTGCGAATGGTATTTTTATTATAGTTGATCATGTTGTTTTTCATGTCTCCTTATTTCTTTTGTTCTTCCTATAATTGATGGAGATATATAGAAATTATTTATAATGTATAAAGGTATTGTCATTTAATTAGCTCTATATCCTTAAGAAAATGAAAAAATATGTTGTTTTATAATGCCAGTAATACCAGAATTAATAGTTAATAATAAAGACTTTGTGGTATTCTGATTTAGTAATGTAATTATATTAGTTGTGTTACCATCCCCACGCCACTAGAGGCAGTAGCAGGCCCGAAAAGATGCGACTAAGGAGCAGATTTAGAAGTACACCGAAAGCTACAGAATTTGCTAAAAACTGTGAGCTACCGTGAAGTAAATAAAAGAGAGAAGTTTAAATACATTCTGAGAGTGAAACTCCCCCCTAAAGGTGAAAATATATCACAGATTTCAAAAGAAAATAAAAACGGAAGTATAGGAAATAGCGCCCCTTTCACTTCCGGATTGCAATGGCCCCATTTACAAATAAGGTAAGAGACCGACAGTGGTCCGTCCCCGCCACTTTCTGTTTGCTGCAGCGAGGCGTACTGGGTGACGTCACGTTCCAAAGCTCTATCCACCTTATTCCTATGCCCCATGATACTTTGCGTGAATTATGAGCGCGATTGGGAGACTTATTTGACTCTTGTATAATTTATGGTACTGAGAGCCTTACTGTTACATGTTGTTTAACTGGTTGCAGGTTTTTCAGTTGTTCTTTTGACTGAGTCGCTGCTGTATTGTGCCTGCAAGTATGATGCATGTTCACATTAATTAGGTGAATTTATTACCAGATAATTTTTTAATTTTGCCAGATCACATAGTGTCATTTATAACTAACACAAAAAATAAATAGTCAATCCAGGCAATCGGCAAAGATCGGCCTCATTGGTGATCGATATCAAAATTGGCAGCATCCCTAGTAATGATAATAGCAATAATAAAAATATACTAATGGAAAATACTGTGCAGTTTTTGCAAATAAAAATATAGGATTTGCGAGACAGATCACATTTCCAAAAATGTACATAATGTGCATCTGCATTGAACATTAAAGACCGTTTACAACATGCTGTAGCATCGCCAAACTGGGCACCTGTCAGTCTGTGTCATATATGTGCATTCATCATCTGCATTTAATGCTTTTTAATATACTAATAGAAAGACATACATGTTAGTGTACTGCTTCCCAACCTGTGTGTTCAAATGCCTCAGATTATACCAAGTTAAATGACCTGGCCTTTTTACTTAGATGCAGATGAAACACAATGCCTCTGTTGCAGAGAGTTTCCTCTGAACAGCAGGACAGGTGTTGAGTTTTGTTTGATGAACCAGGTTTGGAAGCAGCGCTGTAGCAGATAAAACGTTCTTTGATGGGATGAAGGTCTTTGATTCCCATGTGTGCTCTACTGTTCGCTTCCCAGTTGAGCAGCTGCCCACCATCACAGATCAGGCTCCCAGTTCCCTCATCGCCTTTCCTTTCGACGAGAGCTTCGCCATGACGTGTGAGGCTAAAGGGAATCCTGAACCAAAGTGAGTAAGCGACTCTTCCAAAGCTTTTCACATAAGAGCAGGGAAGAACACACCATCACATTGCAAACAACCACAGCTCACCATCAGTGTGTTGCGTTCCAGGGTTCCCGGTTTGGGCTTTGACACTTTCATGCTTCCTTTATGCAGATTCCAGTGGAAAAAAAACGGGGAAGATTTTGACCCTTATCTAGATCCTCGGCTGATGAAAGAGGAGAATTCTGGGACTTTTGTGATCCCCAACAATGGGAACCTCACAGAGTACCAGGGAACCTACTGCTGTTACGCTTCAAACAAACTGGGGACGGCCATATCCAAGGAGATTGAGTTCATCGTACCCAGTGAGCAACATTTGTGTTCGTGTCTGCGTGTGTGTGTGTGTGTGTGTGTGTGTGTGTGTGTGTGTGCGCGTGCGTGCGAGCTGCATGTGTGTGTGTGCGTTTTGTGTTTATATGGGGTGCCATGTTACAATGTTCTGGAAATGATTCCAAACCTAATTTGGAGGAAATCGGGTCCCATTTATTGGCGCACCCCTACTAGAAAGGGATTTATAGTGTTCCATTGTATACTTAATTTACAAAACACGGTTCCTTGCAAAAATATTCACACGCTTTTGATCTTTTTTTCTTACATTTTCTTATGTTACAACCATAAAATTCTATGTATTTTGTTGGGATTTTATGTAAAAAAGGAGTAATGTGTCTTTTTTAAGTGGAAGAAAAGTGATGGTTTTCATCAATTTATGCAAATTAAAATTTTAAGTGCTTGGTTTGAGGATCTCCTACTAGCCCAGCAGTGTATAGGGACATGTCTCTACTAGCTTTGGGCATATGGATACTGATATTTTTGACTATCTTTTTTTGTCCCAAGCTCTAAGCCAGGATTTACAATGCCTTTTCAGTATATCTCTGGTATGTTTGTTTACTTTGTTGTAATATCCCAGTTTTACATCTTCTACTCCCATTAACAGATTTTTCTTCCTGTTTTTAGGAAGTATCCTGGTGAAAAGCATCCTCACCACCATGCTTCATTATGGTGGCTGTGTAGTCCCTGACCTTTCTGCTGTGTTCTGTAGTTTTCATGCTGGTTGGTTCACCAATGAACCTCTGAGACCAGAAACCACAGCTGGATTTTTCCTGAGGATCAGTTACACACAGGTGGACTCTGATCACTCATTAGACCTGTTACCAAGGCAAATGGGTGAAATAGATTTTACTTAGGGGATACCAGAGGAAAATGGTGGTTGATTACAAATGGACACCACAATGTTGGATTTGTGGTTATGAAAACAACAACAACAACAAAAAAACATAGTGCATAATTGTTTCAACGTCACAGTGCTTTTTTGTTGACCAGTCACATAAAATGTTAATAAAATACATCAAGTTTGTAATTGTTATGTGACAAAATGTGAAAATGTGTTACATAGAAGTACAGTTCTTGCAATACGGGTCTCTGTTTGATTTTCAGAATGATCTTACTGCCCTCTTCTGAAACAGAAACAGAACTGCGGTGCGATTTCAATTCATTTCCTCCACCAACTCATCAGTTTGTTCTGCTGTGTTTTTTCCTCCAGACGTTCCAAAATTCCCTAAAGAGAAGCTGGACCCTGTGGAGGTGGAAGAGGGCCAGCCTTTCATTCTGAAATGTGACCCACCCACCGGCATCCCGCCCCTGCAGATCTACTGGATGACTATTAGTAAGTGACACCTAATTTCTTTCTCCGTCTTCTGTATTAATAGATCAAAATGTGCGGTGAATATTTTACCCTCTGAATCACGTTATGAGAGGTATATATAGGCTTTAAAACAGCCCTAAGCTGCAGTAATCCATTTAAGCATCTCTGATTTGAATATGTGTCAGTACTCACAGTCTCAAACATTTGACTTTAAATCCAATTTTAGAGCTTCACATTGCCAAAGGCAGTAAATGTGTCAGGAGAAATTCTGCCAAAAAAAGAAAAAAACAAAACATTTTAACACACCACATGTGAAAGTAGCATAAAGTGATTTTCGCTTACTATTTTAAATACATATTATGTAAAAGAAAATTATGAATATACCTCATGTTATGATGTTATTCCCTCATCAAAACATACCTGAAGTACTGCCTTAATTCTTCCATGTTTGAGAAATCCTTTAATCTTCATGGCAACCATTGAGCCTTGCAAAACCCCTGTGTGGACCTAGCACCGTCTTCAAGGTAGAAGCTCCTCCTCCTGCAGTTTCCAAAATCCCACCTCACAGAGCAACTTCACCCACTCAGCTCCTTCAGACTAGCCAGAGACAATTAGCAAACACCTGTTGTAAATGCACATCAGCTGAGCTCATAATAGGAGCTACGTCTCAGTGAAATGCTGGTAAAAACATTGTTAAAGCGTTAATAGAGGAGCTATTTTGTGATGACTTCCTGAAGGCGGAGTTTCAGAAAGAGCAGGAGTTTCTTAAAGAGACGGAGGCCCAATTTCAAGACGTCAAATTATGAATTTCTTTTAATTTATATGTGATATATGTAACATTTCTATAAAAACTTCTATAAAGACTGAAGGTAACAGTTACTTGACTGTGCTATAAAATGGCACTATATGCCTAAAATGATGCAGTAAGAAATTTCTTACACATTTCTTAGATGTGTAAGAGTTTTATTTCTGCTGCCTTGTCGGACTCAGACCTCCAGCACATTGAACAGGACGAGCGGGTGTCCACCGGCCTCAACGGAGACCTCTACTTCTCACACGCGGTGGAGAAAGACAGCCGGAGGGACTACTGCTGCTTCGCCGCCTTCCCCAGGATACGCACCATCGTTCAGAAGACCGCCATGTCTGTCAACGTCAAGACAAGTAGGTCGCCGAGCCACATGCTGTGACGTAAACTTTGATTCTTCATCTCCAACAATCACAAAAATCCATTTTGATGTCACTTTGTCTGATTTATTTGCATGTTTTTAGTTGCTTGGGTTATTTTTTTATCTTTTCATGATTCACCCACATTGTCCTCGTTGTGTGTGTGCGTTGGTGTGTCATCCAACTTCCATGTCAGGAGGAGGTGACAGGTCTGAGAGCGGTAAGTTAGAGGAGGGAATTTCGGTCTTTTTGTCTTTACAACTCTATGATATTGTCATATTCTCACTTGTTCACCAGCCAATGCAATCCTGGAGAGGAAACCCTCACTTCTGACGCCCTCTGGTGGCAGTTCAGAGAATCAGCTGGTCAAAGGAGAGGACTTGGAATTAGAGTGTATTCCGGAAGGAATGTGAGTAACACTGCATAAAGTGAGGGCATTTGAAAAGCAGTTTTATGTTTCAATTCGACTTCTGTTTTTTTTGCAGTCCAACTCCACAGGTGGAGTGGATAAAAATCGGTGATCAGCTTCCTGTTAAAGCAAAGCTGGATAATCACAGGAAGCTGCTGATCGTTCCCAGAGCCCAACAAGAGGACAGCGGGAGGTACATGTGCAGAGCAAATAACCCACTGGGAGAAGCTGTCCATTACTTTACAGTGACAGTTGAAGGTAAAAACAAAAGTCAATAATTAGGTTAAATAATTTTACCTTTCCTCATCAAATCTACAACATGTAGGTCTCCTTTGACCCTGCAGTGCTGTAGGCTAGGATTACAAACCTGTCCTGTCTTTCCTTAGGCCTAAATTATTGAATTAACATTCAGTAATTACCTTTCAAACTGTAATATTTACTAACAGTTATCTTTTAAGTATTTAAACTTTCTGTTTGCTACCCAAAAATATCCAGAAGGCTGCTTTATTGAAGTATGAATAAGCATTTATTAAAAAAAAGAAAAGAAAAGAGAAAAAGATTAATCAAAGTATTTTTTGGCGTAGTAATGGCTAATGGCTTTTGTCTTCTCATTTTTTAAATATTGCACTAAATATGGCTTGGAGGTGTGGTTTTTATTTTCTTGTTTAGCTCCCAGTGATACTCGTGTATTGCACAAAGAGGACAACATGAGAAAGAAACACCAATGTCACATCATTAACCTTTACTTTAAATCTACATCTATGTGGTTAAAACAGGTGCATGTTGATACAGAACCATGATCAGAGCTGGTTTCGGAACCTACAAAGTAAGCTAACATTCAGCTGGTTTAATGGTCCTTATTTCAAATTCACCTAAACTTTCTGACTCTGTTGGCTCTGGACCCTATGTCCAATTAGTAGTGGGGTGATCTTAGCCACTGATCTTATCTACTTCAGCGAAGGTCTAAAAGTCAGCCACTGTCCTCTTCTCTCTGCAGTGACAGAGGTTTGACTGTTAGCCCTGCCCTCCAGGTCATGTCTGCATGTTTGCAGTTAACAATATTCACCCCACTGTTACCAACTCTGAAACTTTCTTGCTATATTTAGCAACAATTCAGACAAAATAATCGGTATCAACCAAAATCTGAATCTGCAGCTCAGACTTTCGAAAGATCAATTATCAGCCAGAAAGGTGCAATCGGTGCACCCCCTAGTTGTGTGTTTATATTTGAGTCTAATGACCCTACATTGAGTAAAAAAATCTTCCCGAAGATGTCAAATTGACTTGAACTGCTGTTGAAATGCTTTCATGGTCACATCATTTGTTTATGTTCAAGGTTCTCTGCCCTTCAATGACATTTTATTTAGTTTTCATTGTTTAATGCATTTATGATTTTATAGATATGTTTGCATTTTAAATCAAAAGACTTATTGTGGATGGACAGATTAGCTTTAATTCTACAGGCTACTGTAGAGGAGGTTCTTAGCACCATCAGTCATTATTGTGTATGTGCTGCTAAATGTGCTAATGGCGGAGAAGCAACTTATAATTACAGGAAAACTGTTCATCTACTGTCATCGGTAGGCATGCTAACTAACCAGAGCTAGCCCTAGCCCTTGAATTTTGCTAGTCTGAGCTGAACAGAGAGCAAGTGCTACGCTCTGGCTAATGCTAGAGCCCTCCTCTTGACTCTGATTGGTCATTTCTGACAATGAGCGGTGCATTTCTGCAGATGGCAGTAGGACCACCGGGAGGATGCTGAAGAGCTTCATTTTTTTCACAGATTATATGTTTCATAATATATTGTTATATAGTTTATATTATTTTTAAAAGTTACATACTGCAGCTTTAACTAAAAGCTTTAATGCTTTTTTATTGCCCTACCACCTTTGGTTGTTTGTTTTTGTTTATGCCAATGGAATAAGTATTTTGTCATCAATATTAAGGAATAATTGACTTAAACAAGCTCTCCAATACCGTCAAGTCAAGTCAAAATGTATTTATATAGCATATTTACAACAGCCTCAGCTGACCAAAGTGCTTCACAACAAACAACATCACAGGGAGATAAAGATATTAGCATTATGTTCCCTGCTGACAAGTAACTTCTATGTTAGATTTGTCTTATTCTAGACATTTGCACTAAAAATTAGACCAAAAATACATGGTAGGATTTTATGTTTTTGGAATGTAAAGCCCAATTTATACAGTTTATCTGCGAAAAAAGTTGATTTGATGTTTAGTTACTCTTTAATTCATCCAATCTACAGAGAGCGGCAATAACATTGCTTTCCCTGTAACTGCAGGTCATTGAAAACAATTAGGTATAAAAATGAAGGTAATGATTTATAATGCTTGATCATTTTGCACCACTTATGACACAGAAGACAGAAAAACCACGATTACGATAGTTTCACTACAGCTGCTCCGCTGTTCAGATTTTGTTTAAAAGAGGACATCTACAGCGACGTCCTTGTGAGTGACCCTGAGCAGGTGTTATTGTTTAAGTGTTGGGTTTATGTGAGAATTACACCTGATTCTATCATGAGCAGAGTCACTCAAGGGAGAAATGTTTCTTTGTCGGTCCATGTCTGCAGGCCTTGGATAAAAAACCACAGCATTACTTTATACTGCATAGCACACAGTGAAGAGGTGACTGTCTCTCTCTGTGCGGTGTCTCTATGATAACATGGAGCTGACTGTGTTCCCAGGGCCTCCAGAGTGGGAGTTGGAGCCACAGAGCCAGCTCAGTATGATCGGCTCCCATATCCACATCAAGTGCTCGGCCCGCGGCGTCCCAGAGCCCACCATCACCTGGAGGGTGAACGGCCAGCTGCTGCAGGGTCAGTCCCACGACACTGACCATTAAACACTGCAAAAACTGGATCTTACCAAGTATTTTTGCTCTAGTTTCTAGTACAAATAAATGTATACACTTGATTATTATTATTTTACTATCATTATCATCAACATTTGATATTTGTTTTTTTTTATTATTATTTTAGTTGGTATACTATATAGATTATGAAGTATATGGTGTATCAACCAATCAATTAGGAGTTAGAAGTGTCAGTTTGTAATCATTTTGTTTTAGGTAATATTATTTATTTATAGGTTCTTTAGCACAGTAAATTGCATGTTTTTTAATTACACATTTCTGCTAATTATTGAGTTGGTAAGTGATGATTTTTAATAATTTCTGGCAGATTATTTCACTTATAACATGGGAAAATATTATACCTGTGGAAGTAGTACATTGTCATCAATATTAAGAAATTATTGACTTAAAACAAGCTCCTATATTTTGCTGAAAAGTTACTTTTAAGTTATTTTGTCTTATTTCAAGTGCACTAAGATAATTGTAGTGCAAACTAGTCCAGAATTACTTGGTAAGATTTTGTGGTTTTGCAGTGAAAACGAAAACATTTTCTGTTTTTGGCTTTAAAACAAAAGAAAAAAAATGTTGGAAAGTCGAGAAAATTAAAATGGAATCAACTGTGTTTTTCTGCAATGTCTGGCTTACCGTGAGGGAGAAGGATTGTGTTATCTGAGACCGGGCTGACCGGTTTCATTTATTTCATTTCTCATTTCCTTAGAAAGCTAAAATGTCTCAGTTTTTAATTTTCTTGTCCTTGAGAGCCGTGCTACTGCTTCACAAGAAACAGAATATTGGAAAGTTTACTTGCCAGACCTGGTTGGTTAAATTAGCAACAAAGCTTATATTCAGATCATTGTGGCAAATGAGCACAAAGAGCTCATCTTTCCCTAAGCTTGCATTTAAATGTATCTGGAAGAGGTTTGCTGGCATAAAAGTAATAAAGAATTCTCAGTTTGTTTTATTCAGCCAACGTCTCTAAAAATCCTTACAAATCCCAACAATGTGTAATAAACACTAAAAAGCATCTGATAGCCTCAAAACCATTGTCCATGAATTCATTTAACTTTAGATGAGACAAATGATTCAGTATGAGATTCTCATCTTGAAATACCTTTTATACAGTATTAGAAATGCATGAAAAAAACACAAATAAACAAACCAATTCTGTTTTTAATGAGAAAATAAACATTTAATTGCCTATAATGCAATAGCAGCATTCCTTTAGTAAACGCAAAGGATGCATCTGCTGATAAAAAATACATCTAACAACATGTGAAAAGTTCAGCACTTTCTGCTCGACTTCAAATTGATTAATCCATTGTTAAATTAGTTTATGATTATTTCAATAATCAACTCACTACAGTTAATCTGATTAATTGCTTCAGCCCTATTCCAAGTACCATATTTTCCGCACTATAAGGCGCACCTAAAAACCTTCAATTTCCTCAAAAGCCGACATTGCGCCTTATNGATCAACGACAACTGACGTCATCGCGCAAGTTCAGGTTCGAGTTGCTAAGCAACCGATCTGGCTTTAGATCGGTTGCCATGGTCTTCCTTTAATAAGAGGAAAATAACATGATGCGCAGTTTGAATTGATTCATTTTAGATATTTGGTAAAAAGTGATTAGAAGCCTATATAACACTGGAAATGCGGCTTTTCCCCCCTCCTAATTTTAAGATGATTTCCCGGTAAGAATTGCTTCTTATTTTGATATTATGACTACATTCTTGTATTTAACAAAAATAAACCAAAACAAATTTTCTTACCCTGGCACTAATACTCCGTCATGCAACTCACAATAGGGTTGATTGAAATTAAAGATAGTTTTTCCAAACAAAACCAAAAGAAATTGGATTAAAGTCTGATCTGGTAAATATTATATATATATTTTTTAAGCTATATGCTTATCACTACATTGTGGCAAATGACAGAATGGACGCCATGTTAGAACTATCCCCGTTTTCAGATGCAGGAAGAAACACTTAATCTTCTATATAACCCATCTAGCTTAGGTTTTTCTTGCAAATATAGAAAGTTTTTATTTCATATTAAATTTCTCCTTTTATTCAACCAAATAAAAAAATATTGCAAGATGTTGTACACAAAATGTAATGATTAAAAAACAGTTAACAGAGGTGAAACATACTGGCTGTACATCTCAATACAATACTCATTAATCAGGTGATCTGTTGACCATTACAGCACCAGACAACAGTATTTAATAATTACAAACATCAATATGTGGCCTGAGAAAAAAAGTGACCAAAATAACCCAACATGTTTATATGATAGCATGTGTCCCAGCAGGACATTGGGAATATAAGTTTATTTACCAGAATTTAGTAAGAATATAGCTACCACAACTGGAATCGCAAAGTTGGATAAAAAAAAATATAATCTGATTTGAAAACTTAAGTCGAGACTTCACATCATGTCCGGCATCAGGATCGCAGAGTCGTCTCGCATCAGGCTGATCTCCGTTCTGAGTTTTTCATTTTCCTTCATAACAAAAGCAATTAATTTGGTGCTTTCATATTTTATCCCACCAAAACTTTCATAAGAACAAAGTTTACCTCTTGTAGTCTAGTATTGTCCTTTTTCAGTTTGACCAGGTATTCAATCCTCTGTTTGTGGTTCTTATGTCCGACGAGTTTTCCGTTCTCCTCAGAGAGTTTTTCATTCTGCCTACGCAGAACCTCGTTCTCCTGTCAGAAACAGATTTTACGAAATCAGTGATGTTTCTGCAGATCTTTATGGAAGAAGATATGAGAAGACTAACACTTTAAATATTCCCTTCTTCCTCAACATCATCAGTAAAAATCAGATAAAAGTATTTTGAAGTAGTTGGTTCATTTATGTTTTTGTCTTTTATGCTTGTCTGATAGAGGAACCTACAGAAGACAATTAAGGCCACCAGGGAAAAACAACAACTTTTTTTCTCAGAATTTTGACTTTAACCTTCTAACATACATCAGAATTCTGAAAAAAATTAATAAATAAAAAAATAAATAATCTGAGAAAAAAATTATTCTGAGGAAAATATTGTGAGGGGGGAAAAAATCATTCTGGGGGAAACAGTCAGAATTCAGAGGGAAAAATTATTGAGGAAAAGGTGACAATTCTAAAAGGCAAAAAAAAATCTGAATTCTGAGAAATGCAGAATTCAGATTCTAAAAAAAATCTCTAAAAAATGTTCTCTTTAAGTTTTCTGTCATTTAGCTAATAGAAATAATTTTGGTAATTCTAACTAACCTAAAACAAGATAAGTTGTAGTTTGATTTAACTTCAGATTGAGAAACAAAATGAATCCATGTCTTTTTATTAGGTGTATAAAAAAATCTGGCAGAAATCATTCTGGGGGAAACAGTCAGAATTCAGAGGAAAAAAATAATTGAGGAAAAGGTGACAATTCTAAAAGCCAAAAAAAAAAAAAAAAAAGAGAAAAAAAAACTGAATTCTGAGAAAAAAGTGAGGGGGAAAAAAAAAGGAATTCTGGGAAAACGGAATTCTGAGAAAAAAGAATTCTCGAGGAAAAGGCCAGAATTCTGAGCAAACAACGGAATTCTGAGAAAAAAATTCTGAAGAAAAAAATAATTCTGGGGGAAAAAAAAGCAAAGTGCATAGTTTTATATTTTTTTTACACCTTTGCCTTAGTTCCTGCTTTGAGTATGTTCTTTCAGAAAATTACATTTATTTTTTTGAGTCTATGCCCTCCAGGTAACGATTAATTAATTACCAAATTAATTAACGATTATTTGAATAATTGATTCATTATGATTAATTGTTTCAGTCCTGCTCAGAAGTACTACCAGCAGGGTGCTGATCTCCAGTTCTTACCTGGAGGAGTTTCTCCTCATCGTGAACCCTCAGGTTCAGTTCTCTCAGCTCCAAGCAGCGGTTCCTCAGCTCAGTCGTTAACTCTTGAATGCAAGTCTGAGACTGAGCAAAGGAAGATTCCTGGTCCTGCAACCTAAGTAACAGAAACCAAGAACAAACCTGGTCAAACACTGTCAAAATATTAAAGTCAGGATTTCTTTCACAAATTACTCAGCGCTTACTTTCTTTGAGCAGCAGAAAGCCTCTGTAATATTTGGTTCTGGAACAGAAAAATCGTGTTATAAATAAGTCACAATAAGGTATAAATCAATTAATATCATAAATTAAAATCAGCTCAATAGTTTTATCAAATAAACAGGCAGTTTTGCCTGTTTTCCCTGTGTGAAAACAATCATTAATAATTTTTGAGGGCTGATTTTGTGTACAGATTTCATAATCCATTTTATTTATTCAATAAAATCCCCACAGTGAAATTCAATAACTTCTCAAGTATTTTCAAGGTAAGTTTTCAAACTTTTCCAGCTCCAGATTGTAGATAAAAAAACAATCTAAACAAACTAAAAAGACAACAGTTTCATTTCACTTTTATATATGAAATATATAATATAAATATATAAAAACATAATATGTTCAATAAATCATTCAGCCATTAGGACTAATAAATATTCACTGCATTGAAACAATCAAAACAAATCGTGTTGAGGAAAAGGCTAATTAAATTTTTAAAGAAAGTTAAAAAAAATCTCTAAAAATTTTTCTCTTTAAGTTGTCTGTCATTTAGCTAATAGAAATAATTTTGGTAATTCTAACTAATCTAAAACAAGATAAGTTTAGTTTGGTTTAACTTCAGATTGAGAAACAAAATGAATCCATGTCTTTTTATTAGGTGTATAAAAAATCTGGCTTCAACTGCTAATAAAGTTTTCCAAATTTAGGGTTTTAATAAAATGTTAGATTGTATTTTATTACAAAACCATTCAGTTAGAATATCAAGCACTTCAAGGACTTTGTTTGAAAATCAAACCTTGAAAATATTTAACTTAAATTAAACATTTTCAAGGATTTCAAGCACCTATACAAACCCTGTTTATTGTTTCATTTGTGTTTTTATTTCTGTTTTATTTATTGTTTCTGTTAATTCTTTTAGACAATTAAA